AAGAAAAATATCCTAGATTAAAAAATATAATTAATTATTATAAAAAAGGAAGTTTATTATTCATAATTATAGATGTAATATTTTGTGTTACTTGTTTAGTAATATTAATATTATCTTCTTTAACTTTTATTTATTTAGGAAATAAATTATAACAACTAATTATTAAAAATATTTATAAAAATATTTATAGAAATTTAACCCCCAAATTAAGATAAACGATGGATTTCGAGTCTTTTTAAGAAAAAACAAAAATAAAAATAAAAAACAATGGAACAATTTATAGAAAAATTTAAAAAAGAAAATTTATTTGATCATAACGAAATTGATATACACAATGATAACGAAAAAATATTATTTACTTTAGGTAGAAGTTTTGATTCAAATGTTAAAAATAAAGAAGGAAAAGTACACCTAGTATGTAGTAGATTTACTGTAAAAGATGTCATAAATTACGATAATTTAAGTCGTCATCTATCTATGTTAGGTTATAATAAACACATAATTTATATGAATTTAAGAAATATAAAAAGAAATTTAAATAAACCTAGACCTATTTATGATTATAATAATCTATATATTCACTCAGTAAATATCTATAATTTATTTAAAATATATAGAGAAAGTAGTATGTTGTCAGATATTATAGGTCAAAATAATTTTGAAAAAGAATTTGATAATATATTAGTAGATAGTTTATTTATAATAGAAGATATGAACTGGGAAACTTTTAAATATATTTTAGAAAAGAATGATATAAAAATTAGTGGAGGAGATATAAAAAAGAGAGATAAATTATCAACAGTTCAATATACTTTGTCTTTCTTTTTAATATTCTTAGGTTATAATATTCAGAATATATATCAAAGTTTTAATAGTAAATCTATAAGTTCTAAATATAAAGATATTAGCGATCAAGTTAAGATAATAGAGAATACAAATGATATTTTATATTATATATTATTACAAAATGAATTAAAATCTAGTGTTAGCAAAGAAATAGGTAATTTAAAAATTAGAATTGAAGAAATTGAAAAAGAAGTTAAAATTTGTGATGAAAAAATCACAGAGGAAATTGATTTTATGAGTCCTGCTTATGGAGTAGATGAAAGTGAAATAGAAAAAGAACTTAAAAAATTAAAAGAAAGTTTATTGAAAAGAAAAAAAGAAGCTGAAATAAAAATAGCAAGCAAAGAAGAATTTAAAAAAGAAATTAAAAGTCTAACATTCTCAGAATTACTGTCTGAACATAAAGTGCGAGGAATAAGTGATTGAAAAAGTTTAAAAGTAAAAAAGATTAAAAACAATTATCAAATAAGAAAAAGAAGTTATAGTACAACAGCTTTAGATATTAAAAATAATTATGATTATTTAAATTATGTAAAATTAATATTAAATGAGAATGGTAGTTTGTATGAAAAACAAAATAAAATTGAAAATGATTGGAGCGAATACCTATTTAATAAATTAATGACAAATAAAGAATCTCATGTTAGAAATAATATACCTTATATTCTTAACAAAGCTAATGAAACATTAGAATTACATAAGGATACTAGTAGTTTTAAAAAAAGATTTTGTAGAATTTATACAGATATAAATAAAAGTCATTTAATTATTGCCTTTTTTAGTATATTTACATATCATAATAAGTTAGGTTTTACTTCAATATCCATGATTGTAGCTAAAAATATTCTAATTAACATATATACTAACTTAATTAATAAAAAAAGGATAGCGGGAAATGTTTCATTTGAAACTTTTAAAGAAAATATCGAAATGACAAATGAGATCAATTTATTAAACTTAGGTAGTTTTTTTATTGAAATATTTTGTTGTTTACCTACAAATGTTTTTACAAAGACATTTAAAAACAGAGTTGGGAGTATAGATGAGTTAGATCTCAATCCTGTGTCTATTTTAGAAATTAATGAAAAATATGTAGATGAATTAAGTATGCTTATTACAGGACCAATGTCTTTACCTATGATTTGTGAACCTAATAAGTGGTCAGATGATGAATTTGGTGGTTATTTATCAAATAGTCTAATTAA